CAGGGGGGACACTGGGCAGGGGTCAGGGGGGACACCGGGCAGGGGTCAGGGGGGACACTGGGCAGGGGTGACATCGGGCAGGGGTCAGGGGTGACACTGGTCAGTGGGGACACTGGGCAGGGGTGGCACTGGGCAGGGGTGGCACTGGGCAGTGCGGGCACTGGTCAGGGCTTAGGGGTGGCACTGGGCTGAGGGAAATTTCCCATACAAACAAAACCCAGGTGTCAAGAAGGAAAAAATGTCCCGTGCCCATGTCCCCAATCCCAAATACCTCACACCCCATACCCCACACCCCATATCCCACATCCCATATCCCACATCCCACATCCCATATCCCACATCCCACATCCCACATCCCATACCCCACACCCCATATCCCATATCCCATATCCCACACCCCATATCCCATATCCCATATCCCATATCCCATATCCCATATCCCATACCCCACATCCCACACCCCACACCCCCTGTCCCCACCTTGGTTCCCATGCAGACCCCGAGCTGCTCCCTCAGCGACTCCGCCTGCGCCGCCGCCTCCTTCCTCTTCTCCTCCAGCTCCTTCCCCACCTTCTCCTTCTCCTGCTCCAGCCTCTTCCTCTCCTCCAGCCCATCCTTCTCCCGCTTTTCCAGCGCCTGGATCCTGTTCTCGAGCTCCTGCTTTTCCCGGGAGCAGTTGAGCTGGCACTGCTGCACGTTCAGCTCGCAGCGGCTTTTCCAGATGTACTGGGAATCCCTCTCCTGGTGCTCCCTCAGGAGCGCCAAGGCTCGCTCCCGGAGCTGCTTCAGCTCGCTCTCCGCTTCCCCACACTGGAGCTGCTTCACCAGCTCCGAGATCCGGGGGAATTTGTTGTTCATGTCGCTCTGGAGGGCGCGGCACTCGTGTCTCTGCAGCTGCAGCTCCATCCTGCTGAGATCCCCTTCGGCCCTGGAGCTCTGCAGCTCCTGCTGGCACCTGTCCCTCTCCTGGGTGGCTTTGGCCAGCCCGGCCTGGCTCTGCCGGCCGCTTTCCTCCAGGCTTTTCTGGGATGAGCCGGCCCGTTCCAGCTGCTGCCGCAGCTGCAGCTTCTCGGCTTGGGGGGAAGCGCAGCAGGAGTTTTTTTTTGGGGGGATGGGGTTTGGGCTCTGGGG